CTTCCACGCGCGCGTCACGCGCTCACACAATACGGGTCGGGTCAACCCGTCCACACTAAACCGGGTCTATCCTGACCCGAGTTGACCCGTTGACTTTTCGGGTCGGGTCTTGACCAGGTTTGACTAACCCGTTTGACTTACGGGTCGGGCGTTGACCGGACTTGACTGACCCGTTTGACTTTACGGGTCGGGTTTGACTCATTACCGGGTTTGACTAACCCGCTTGGTCATATGGGTCGGGTCCATGGGTCAACTTGACCCATTTATTTACTTGGATTATGGGTTGGGCCGGATAGGAATATAATGGGTTTGTGAATATAGTTAACACCAAAATCAAATTAGCCCAATGGTTAGAGTATTGGGCTTCCACCATGGAGACTTGAGTTTAAGTCTCACCACCCACGCCTATTTCAGTTTTTTTCAAAAAAAACTAACAGGATAAAACGACATGTCATTCATAAGGGTGGATCAAAAACGACATGTCGGTTTGGGTCGTCTTCAACCTCTGTCCGGGTCTGCAACTGGGTACCCGACCCGGAAATCAACCCATTCGAAACCCGAAACTTCAAAAGGCCATATCTAAGTCATTTTAACTCTATTTTTTATGATTCAAAAACCATTTTCTTCATAATTTCATAAGGAATTTAATGGACTAAGAATCATTACCAAAAAAACAACTTTTTACGTACAAAATTTGAAAAATCAGAATTGCATTTTAACAAACCAATAACATGCTTCAACATTACAATATGAATTTCAAACAATATGAACCACGGCTCTGATACCATTGTTGGAAATTAAATAGAATAATATATATCCTAACATAATCCCAAGATCATAGTCACCATTGCAATCACATTTTCAACAAAATGAACTACAATGAATTTACACAGCATAAATACCTCCACTCCTTAACTCTAAAGCAATAAAGTTAATCTGAAAGAAAGCCACGAATCATTTTCTGTTTTCCAAATTTTTTTAGAGAGAGAGAGCGTACTTTTCCTTGCGTTTTTCTTTTGAATAACAGTGTTCGTTCTTTTTCTAAAAGGAAAAGGTTTTCCTTTTATATGGCAGCGGTTGGAGAGAAACTGCATTTGGCAGTTTCTCTCACACACGTCGCTTGGGGTAACCCATCATGGGTGTACCCCTTATCCAATATAAACAAACAAACACATGTTAGCAGATCTAAGATAAATATTTATGTGTCTGACACTGAAGTAAGGTTAGCTATCAATTTGATACAAGAATCAAGTAAGTTAGTGAAGCAAGACCTCGTTCTAACTTACCATTTGATTGAATGTCTTCTCCAATTCCTCTTTGTTTAACATATACAAAACCAATAAATGTAAGAACAGAAAATTTTAGCACATGAAAAAGGGGAGAAAATAATAATTCTATCGATGAACTTTACCGATATCTCATCGTCAACCTTCTCTTTCATCACTGGCTTCTTGGATTTCTTGCACGTGCAGCATTTCTTTTTTGGCTCTGATTCTTCAGCAACAGAACAAGAACAATAGTAGCAACGTTTCTTCATCGATACAATCAGATGAATTTATTTTATTTAACAAAATAAATTAATCTAACAAAGCAAAAGTATGTGCCTCAAATATTTCATTAACCCTGTTACAATGTTATTTATCATTACCCTTGTTAAAAAGTGATCCAAAGATGAAGTGATTTGAATAGAATCAACAATAATTATTATTATTTTATATTTTCCTTGAAAAAAAAAAAAAAAATTGCAGAAACTCTTACCACACAACAAACTGGAAGGCAACAACAAAGCCAGCAAGTCTTGACATTCCATCCGCAGCAGTATGCCTCGGCCTTCATGATTTTGTCCAATAAAGAGAAGAGAAAATTAAACTTAAGAGTTTGAATTAACTTAAATTTGATGTTAACTTGTATACATATTGAAGTTTTGATGTTAACTTGTATACATATTGAAGTTTTGATGTTAACTTGTATACATATTGAACTTTATACCCTCATAATTAAAGAATCAGACCCACAAAAAACAAGCTTACATTATACACCTTCCTTGATTCCCTTCAAATAAATAAATTATACAACAAATCATCCAGGCGTCACTACAACATTATAGATACATAGCTACAAAAGTTAGCTACAGAAAAGAAAACTGTAGCAAATACATATTTACAACAACAAAAGTCAATATTTATAACTAATTGAAATAATTTTAGTGATAAGACTTCCTTTCTCAAAGCTAATATTCTTCTCTTGTTTTAACTTATTAAAATCATGACAATAACTAGTCATTTAGTTACAATGTATTAGCTATGGTAAAACATTGTAACTAATTAATGTATTTAGCTATAAACATTTTATTTACATGGCATATAGTATCACTATTAGCTACGAGTTAACTATCTAGCTATTTTTTGTACCCATTGAAGGTGCTGGAGGCTGTAAGTCAAGTAATTGAGTACCCAACCTTAGAGTTAGATTGTTGACATAAACAGGCTCCTCTGGGAAGTAGATCATTTAAAAACACTAAGGTGAGAATAAAAGAAATTATTTGACTTGACCTACGGACTTTTCAAACCAAAACCTTTTCTTTCTTGTTCTCATTGTGACATAAAAGAAAGATTAAGATTTCCCGTAGGCCAATACTTCATTTATTACTGTTGACCCTATATGAGATCAAAAATAGTCAAGGTCAGAAACTTGCTGAGTGATGAGAATGCAAAATGTCATATTTAACCCCCTTAATGTTTAGTCTTTTATATGTATTTGTTTCCTAATTGTACTCATTATTACTTTATTTTGGTTTAGGAAGTAAATGGAGGTGTTAATAGAAAAATAGAATTAATTAGGGGAATTCGGACAGTTTCGCCACTGCTTCGTATTCTGGGCATAATTCTCTCATGCGAGCTTCGATTGAGATGATTCAAAATGCTGTGGAACGCTAAGAAAGAGATCTACAACTTTCATGTTTTGAGTTTTTAGAGATACTGGCTGAATAAAGTTGTAATCGAGCTTGAAGTTGACGCACCTGCATTGCCGACGTCCTAGAGCGTTCTGACTTGTTATGCAAGTCAGTCTATTATTGCACGTTTTGAAGACATACATGCTGCACGAAAATTACAGCTGGAAACAACAACTCCTATTTTATTAGGACTCTATTTTATTTTAGTTCCAATTAGAATTAAATTAGGATTAATGTTATTTTAGGATAGGAGAATATTTCTTTTAGGAGATTGAGTGATTCGAATTCTAAAATTGGATTTTAAAGGGAGATCAGATTAGGTTTTGAGGACCACGCCTCTCTCTCTTTTCCTCTCTGGAATTTTCTTTCTCTTGAGTTTTTGTGATGGCCATGAGCGGCTAGAACTTTTGTAACTTGGTCGAAGGAAACGGAAACCTCGGAATCAAATAAACTGTGAGATCTTTCTGTTTTTAGTTTAAATTCATGTTTGAGTATTGAATGTTATTTTGTGCATATTTCATGATTGATGCATTTAATTACTAGGAGGCCTACTAGTGTATTATTTTGTGAAATCTACTGCTAAGTTTGATATCAAATCCGTAATTGTTTGATCCTCCAACTTGTGAAACAATTAGGGTTGTAATTTGCTGCGTTAAGATTATAACCTTACGAAGAACATTCAACTAAATAATACAACCGCTTGTATTTGTGTTGTTTAGCTTCATCGATCTCTCTAATTCTTAAGGCTGCCACTAGATTAAATCTTGAGCGCTTGTCTAGGGTTTTTAGGGGTAAGATTAATTAGGATCGCTTGTTTCCTGATTAATTACAATTAAGGAGAGATAGGAAATTAATTCCAACGGTGAATATTCAATGTGAATTGATTATCTTTGCATCAATGATCAGTAGTAAGATTCCGATGGTGGATGTTGACAGAGACCAAGTTCGTCATTTTGATTGAATTCGAATTAAATTGTTTTTGTTTTTGCTGAGATTGTTTTCTGTTTTTACACAAACCCCCCAGCCTTTTTCACATCAAAGAAAATTCGCTAGACACTCTTCGTGGGATCGACCCTTGCTTACCCTATTTACAGTTCATAGTTAGGTTCGGAAGTTTAATTCTGGGTGCCTACGACAGCACGACACTAGGAATATTCACGATATTTCCTCAAACCAAGGGAGCAGCTGGCCTTGCTGAGAATAATGGGATTGAAAGAACTAGTGAAACAGAGTCAAGCAGCCAATCTTACTAGTAGCATCAAGAAGGAATACTGAAACAGCAACCACTTATATAAAAGGTCAATTCCTAATAAAATGATCATAACAAGCATGTAAAGAAAATATACTAGAATGCCCAGTGTACTTGACAGTAATTTGTTCAAGGGCGTCAACAAGCATACTGGAAAGACTTACATCCAAGAGACCATCCACAAGAGGAACTTCCATTACAGGACCCACTGCTTTGTGATATTTCCAACACAAGCCAAAGCCTCAAGCAGGGGTTGCCTCTGCGTGGAGAAATCTAGATATCATAAATATGCCATTGATAGAAGTCTTGTTGCCTATCAATGAAAACAGCATAACTCAAAGAAATTGTAGTGACAAGGAAATGAAACAAAGAGAACTAAATTGATGGCACAGACTTATTTCAGCCAAAATCCTTTACGTCTTACTGCTTCACGTAAGTGAGATGTAATTGTTGCAAATAGTGGATGAGTTCCCTCCCAAAGCACCAGCCATCTCCCCAAGAGCAATGAATCCAATGTCATGTTCAGCTGGAACTCGTAGAACTGTAAGAATTGATCATCATATCTGCAGCACATCACAAGTGCATGCAAATATTACTGGGGTGACTTACTGCTATATACATAAGATGATTCATCATCCAAAATGCTCTCCATGCTAGATACAATTATATGATAGAAAATGAAGCAATCCACAAACCTTTAAATAGTTTGTAACAAATTGGTTGCACAAGAAATGACAATGCGAGTAGCAGGGAAGTTATCTAAGGCGAACAAGCTGATCCCGTGCTCTAAGTACCAGAGTACAATTTCAGCAACTTCTCTATACCATGACATCTGAGCTCACCAGTATTCCTGTCCAGAAAACATTTCCATTATATCCACATCAAACACTAAAATCAGTTAATAAAAGGGCACAACTCATGTTTCCTATATATGAATATCAGAGCTCCACAAGAAATCCACGAGAGGCAATGCCAAAGAAGTAAATAAAGATGCCAACCCAAAACCTTGGTTTCAACCTTGATCCTATATACCACCGGAACGAAGAAAAAAAAAAAAAGAAAAAATTGGAAAGACAAAGTGGTCTTCTCAACTCAAACATCAACTTCAGAAGCCAAAGATTTTGCAAATAATTGTAAATTTTCATCTACCTCAAGAGCTCCCCAACTGCAAGTAAAGAACCATGTATGCTATGTACAGGAGCATTTCTGCCCAACCCATCTTGAGTAGCAGCAAACATCTGATAATATCTATCACAAAGAAAATACATCAGGACTCATTGCCCACACAACAATAATAAAAACAGAAGACCAAGCGAGAGTTTTCCAATTGTTTGAAAACATTTAAAAGTTGTGTACATAAAGTTGCACCAACAAGAAATTAACGCATGAAGAAGGCAACATCAAATTTGTAGCATCACCATCCTCAACAATATACCTTCACCTCTTCAATAAGAGATACAGAGCATCAATAAGCACAGACAACTAGGCTCTCTAGTCATGTTAAGATTATTTTTCTTCTATAGGAAACAAAAAGTATATTAATGAAAGAGAGATATGGAAGCGCATCAGCTCCACTAAGGTGTAAGATTACCTCTTGAAGAGGGAGGCAAAAATTGTACGAGAAATTTGACAAGACTTGATAGTTGTGTGAAAACAGACCCATTAGCTGTATGATATGTACATGTAAAGCAACCCAAAAACACACATAATCAACCTAGAACCTCACTTTGGTTAAGAGAATCAAGAATAAAAAGGTATCTTCGAACTCTCTTGAAACTGAAGCTCATAAAGATAATATAAAACAAAAGCATTTTAACCCCCTAAACATTGCAATCTAGACTTTAACATCTTCAAAAATCCTATTTTTCTTTCACATCAAATCAATCCAAAGATGAACCAGTTCCCCACACTTACTTAAGGTCTTAGCACATTTCCTTACCACAAAAGACAAGAACTTTCAGCAAAAGGGAAACAGATATCAAAATAGCCCACAGAAAGTGAACTTCTTTTCAAGCTTCAGTCCATAAAAATGAAGCCACCATGTAGGAAAGGAAAAGATGATCTGTTGTCTTTTATTCTTCGGAAATACCACAGAAAGCAGAGGACAAACTCATTAAGATTAATTTACCAACTGGTAAGCATAAAGAGTAACACTGCTATCTATTCCAATACTTTCCTTCTATATTCTGTTTTCACCAAATTCATGGGCACAGTTGTCCTAGTAAGAAATATCTTTTAACAATATTTGTAAAATTAAACTATGAGAGTAGAGTCTTTGCTCAGTCTCCTCAACTCTAGAAACTTCAGTTTTCCCTTTCTTTTTCACTTCTGATTGTTGTTGATCTCATTCTGAAACTTATTATTACCTCGTGAAGCACAGCAATGTCACCAAAGAGAAATCATGTTGTTTCTGCAAAATAAATTGATGACTGTTAATTTTTTTTTTTTTTTTTTTTTTTTTTAGTTTGATATCTCAGCAAACCCCTCTGCCAAACCTTTAATGAACACAAATTCAAGATTAGGGTCCCGTTGAAGCCCAAATCTTCACTAACCACAAGCCTAACTAATGGGCGTAAAACCACAGCCTACCACTCAAACTTCTCAACAATAACGAGGATAACTACTCCCAATCCCTATTAGCTGGCATCCTTCTAATTTGAGTGAGTAAATCTTAAATACAGTTGTCTTTACATATATTATGAATGAAATAATTTTATAGCATCTAAAAGCATACAAAATAGTAGGATAACCAGTGATCAACCAAAAGATTTGCAAGTTAGTGAAATAAACAAAGATCTTTATAGCATATTTTCTATACAATATTCAGCACCAAACTTAAATCCTATGTTGCACCTTTATCTATTATCTTAAGCTTTTAGATCAGATGATTACTTAACATATATTAAAGCTAGGTCGGCCAAAGATCTGATGTTTGAATCCCTCACGTTACATTAATTGAATTAAAATTTTTTGTGGTTGTAGTTGTATTGGCGATTGTTGTTGTTTTTAGTCTGCATGCAAGTTCACGTTAGAGGACACTTCAGAGCTTCAACACTATAGTGAGCCTTTTAAATATCATCTTTAAACATTTAAGTCAACTAGTTGCTTAACAAAAATCATGATGGCTGCTAAATAGATCCTTCAATCAAGTGTAACAATACACATCATAGGTATAAAATTGCAACTCTCCATATTGCAGAAAATCTCAAAAGCCTTATTAACTTCTCCTATTCTGCACAAACCTCGGATCATAATATTCAAAGTCCAAATGTCCAATCTAAAATGCTCTTTAAACAGGAAAATGGCTTCATTAACTTTATTCTGTTTAACCAGCAAATTCAACAAACTATTACAAGTGAAACTGTCCATAGCAATTTTTTCAGACGGCAGCTGAGAAAGCAATTCCTTGACAAGATCCAATTTTCCTACTTCTGTAAATGACAACCAAAAAGTTTATCATTGAACTATTTGGCAAATGCCCATCACTCCTCATATAGTCAAACACCACTTTGGCCACATCATGTAAACCCGATTCACATAAAGCTCTTAGAAGTAAATGGTAAATCTTGAAAGAATGATTGAGACTCAAGTTCACTGTACTAAATTCCGAAAATCTGAAGGCTAATCTAGGGTTATCTAACCGTTTAATTACCTCAAACGATGTCAAAGGAGTCAATTTCTGACTCAAATAGCCCAAACAACTATCCAAACACAAATGAGAACGAACTAATAGCATAAACACAACTTTAACAAACCACAACTCGGGGCTACATCTATGTATTACCTCTTTGGTTTCAAAGGGGCAAGACCCTCCGTGAAAATGAGCAATGGCAGATATTGTGGAAGCTCGAACCCGTGAATGACGGCTAGTGAATAATAGAAGGGTCATCAGCCTCAGATTTAAACCCATAGAATCCTCTTGTTTGAGGGGCAACAGATTAAAAGGCCATTTTGGCCTTACATTTAATTAAAAGGCGATTAAATTTCAAAGTCTTGACTAAATGGCCTTGTTTTTTATGAAGACTAATTAATGATAATTAATCATCAATCATGCTTTAATTATGATTATTGAAGCATTGAATAATTGTTTTAAAATTATACTTTGTCTCCAAAAACCCAGAATTGTTGCAAAGAAATCTAAACCCAAAACAAAGAATTTGCTCCCCTCCCTCCCGCCATTAACGTCGGCACTCCCCTCCCTGTTGCTTTTTCTTCTTAGCAAAACCGAAGCCCACTTCCTCTACATCTTCTTCTTCCTCCACCATTAACATCTTCCTGCCATTAACATCTTAGAAAGAGATATTTTGAAGGGGCTAAAAGTTCCGCCTCCTCCTCCTCCTGACATTTTGTCCGGGTTTGTGTTACTCCTCTTTGTATTTTAGATTTCTATCCATAAAGATTTAATGGATTTGGTTTGGGTTATTATTTTGATTTGACAGTTTAGGTTCTTAGGTTGTGTTTGATATAATGCAAGTTGAAATGAGTGAAATTTGCTAATAATTTTCTTGCATTGTGGGTAGCTAGGGGTGGTAGCAATTGCCAAAACCAATTATAGATGCAGATTATGAAAAATGGATTCCAAGCATGATCGATCGCTTAAGCGGTCTGGTATATCACTTAAACGATCTAGTACATGGCAGCAGATCGCTTAAGCAATCAGGCTTATCTATACCAGATTGCCTAAGCAATTCGCTTAAGCGATGTACCAAATCGCTTAAGCGATCTGGTAAGCAACATACCAAATCACTTAGGCGATGTACCAAATTGGTTAATCGACTTGGTAAGCGATAAACCAAATTGCTTAAGCAATACAGCAGATTACTTAAGCGACTCTGTAGATGCCCTTTAGGTTGTGTCAACCTTTAATATATCTATTAATAATTTTTTTTCTTGCATTATAGGTACTTGACTATTATTATACATGGGACAAATTTTTTTGGGTGTTGAATATTTTGGTGAGTGGGTGGAGGACGAAAGTTGTTGGACATGGATTGGGAAGAGCAAATAAGTTACACCAACTGCTGTGAGTACAGAAGTTACTTTTGATGAGTTGATTGATGAAATCATTAGAAGAGGTGAGTTGAGCTGCTCGCGTAGTGATATAATCATGGAGTATGTTTTAAGCAGAGTGCTTGAACATTATAAGGTACCCCCTGCTGTATTAAATTTGGTTGAAGGTGTGAAGTTATATATGCTTGATATGGGCAATAATAGTTTGAGGCCGATTTTAAGGGTTTCTGTTGTGGATAAACCATTGAAAGTTGGTTCAAAGGAAGGGGAGAATGAGCAAGTTGGTGCAGAGAATGTTGGTTTTAATTTTCACTATGAGGGCATTGATTTCTTTATTGATAAATCAAGAGTAGGCGATGATTTGGGTGGTGAGGAGGACACTGTAGAAGAGGTTGTTCATGGGGGTAGAATATAATTGTGGATGAGGACACTGATAAGAGCTTAAAAATACATGTTTAGTTAGTGATTTATCTAGAGTATTTGTGTGAAAGTTAATTTAAATTGCAAAATTTGAGTTCATTATTTCATAAATACCTTTAATGGGATCACGGGTGTATCAAGTTAGGATAATGAAACTCGTGTTGTTCAATACAATGGTTGTTTTTAGTACTGAAAGTATGAACTAAATTCTTTTCTAGGGCTAAGATGTAGCCCAATTTTATGAATATGCATTGAATTATTTGTTGTTAATTTTTATTAAGTTTTGTTATAAGTTTTATTATTGGACTTAATGCTTTCAATTCTTAAGGGCCCAAGAGTTGAATGATTTTATGGCTTAGGTTTAGATCGAGAGATGAAACCTAATCCATAGATTGAGCGAACGCTGGAGATAGGTTACATCGATCTGTGAGGCTATAGTAAATTTTATAAAACTTAATGATCTCTTAGCTTCTAAATCCACTTTAGAGATGTAACGCCCCACTTGAGGTATGTAGTTAAGATTTGATGAATGGCTTGAATAATTATTGATTTATCCTCATTTGAGTTTGTATGTTGTTAATTGTTTGGTTTGGTTGAGTGGTTGCCCTGAAATTGTAAAGACTTGGCGAAATCTTGATGTTACGGTCTTTGCCGCGACGAAGAGGTGCTACCACCCATGGGTAGCTGCTGTAAGTTTTCACCGAGGCGAAGAAATAGCTTCGCCGCGGCGAAGACTCGGCTAAAAATTTCCTTGAGTTTTTTTTATAGATTTCTTCCTTTGGGGCACAATGACCATTCTACCCCTAATTAACAGGAAAAGTGTGGATTGAAATGCAAGGAAATTGCATGAAGAATAGTTTATTTGGGGGTGCAAGTGCAAAGAATTAAAGGACAAAGATGGAATTCCTTAGAAAGAGTAAGGGTAAGATGGGAAAGAGGAGAGAAAATATGAGATATTAAAGGTGAAGTGTTAGAAAACCTTATCATTTGCTTTCTTTCCACCGCCTCTTTCATCCTTCAATTCTCTCAAAATTTCATTCAACTTTCCAAGGATTTTTGGAGGGTTTTTGACTACAAGTTGATCCTAAGCACTTAAAGGTAAGACTCCTTACTCTAGATGTGATTTTATTGGTGTAAGAGTGGGATCCTTATTGAGTTTGTGTTAAAGGTTTTAGAGAAAGTATCAAGCCATCAAGAGTAGAGAGCTTAAGTGGATTCTACTTGAGTATAAGGTAAGTAAATCCACCTAAGTGTGATTTGTATGATTGAATGATGTGTAGAGATATCTATATGATTTAATTGATTGACTCTATATGATTTAATTGATTGAATTTTTATGTTTGTCATGTATTGAAGGATTTATGAATGAGTTTATTGTTGAATTAGGAAGAGAATTCCACCATGAAAATGGTGGATTGTGTTGAGAAAAGTTGGTAGTAGTATGGATAGAATTGGAAGAATTGTGAGAGGAATATTTGAAGTGTGTGTTCTTTGCAGGATGTGTAGTGAATTAAAGGAGTTGAACTCCAATTTTGGATGGTTAAGAAAGAAGTAGAATTATAGTAAGAATAGAGTTTATGTATGCACACACATTGTTTGATGAAATGCCTAAGAGAAGCATAAGTAGAAATAGAGAACCTTACTTTATGCAACATAGCATATTTACATTTCATGAGTGCATATAAGAAAGATTCTAAGCATAAGCCATCCATATGCATATGTTTATTTGAGTTTTCATTTAAAAAAGAAATATGAGAAATGAGAAAGAAACACTCTAAGAATAGAGATAAAGAAAAGAACTAATTCTCTTAGAAAAAGAGAAAGAAAGAGTTAGCACTAGAGAAGTGCTAAGAAGAGAAAAGAGAATAGGTTGTGCGATGGGGAGCCCGTGAGTGTAGAAATTAACCGCATGTAACCGTCATGAGAGAGCGGAAATGAGAATGAGAAAAAGAATATGTATAGCCGTGAGAATACATGCGGGTGAGGGCTATACATGAGAGAGAGTACACTCACATGACTAAGGGTTCCGAATCCATGCATTAACCAAGACCGATCGGCAAAGAATAGAAAGAAAAGGAAAGAGAGAAATGCATTGTTATGATTAGTGCATATGCATCCCATCCATGCATGTTATTATGATATCCTTTATGAATAATGAGAATAGAAAGAAAGAAAAGAATAGTGAGAGCTAGAAGTAGCGAAAGAAAAGAATTGAAGAATGATACACGGGGATATTAGAGTAGAAGATTTACTTACTGAGCATCTTTGTGCTCACCCTGTTGTTTTCTATGTTTTTACAGGTCATAGGTGAGGACGTGGTCGGACGGAGGTCGGCAAGCGGGGAGACTTGGCTGCACTGTCCATTGTTTTGAGAGTTTTCTTGTACAAATGATACTGTATTATGTAAAGAATATATGTATTAACTAAAGAAAATTTTTGGGCCCAACTATTTTGATATGTATATTTGTTCTCTTATTAATATTTTTTTTATGAATAAGTTAGTAGAAAGAAGTTGTTACAAGAGATATTTTGGGTTGTTGATTAAGGGTTAATCTGGTTATCGTTTGAAAGAAAATTACTGGAATATTAAGGAATTTGGCCTTTAGAATAAGCTTAATTAAGTTAGCAATAATTGTCAATGCATAGGATAAAATTATTGTGAAATTTGTGCCCTAAGTTTAGTCATATTGGTTTCAACCAAAGTTTGATAATAATTCTACTGCTATTTACTTTTTAATTTGTTTTACCTTTAATATTTCTTTCTTAAGGATTTTGATTTATTAAATAGTAATAAGATAGATTAGTTTGGTAATTGGTAAGTGATAGTTCTCTTGGGATTCGACACTCGTTTACTCGAGCTTTATTACTTGCGCGATTTCGTACACTTGCGAATAGCTTGTCAGAAATTGTATACTTTCCCATAAATGTAGAGATTCCTATAAATACAGATCATGCAGAAGGTGTAGTTAGTGAGGAAGAGAACACTATAGTCCTTCATGTAGATTCAGGGGCGGCAACTTCAGTTTAGTCAAGCATCTCATGTGTTTACTGATGGTTCGGACTTGCACATAGGGTATTTATTTGACAACAAGGAGGAAGTCATCAGAAAGCTAAAACTTGTTGTCGTGAAAGGTAATTTTGAGTTCATCACCAAAAAGTATAATTCATCGATAGTGACAGTTTCATGTCATGACCGAAACTGCAAGTAACGAGTTTATTGTAGAAGGTATATGGAATTTGAGAAACTTATTGTTAGCACATATACCCATGAGCACACATGTGGGTTGGGACATATTTCAGGCTAGCATTGACAAGCCTCCGCTGATGTTATTGGATAATATGTGAAATGTCAATTTGTTGAAGGGAAAGGTCCATCTCCTAAAGACATTCTGAATTATGTGTGCGCAAAGTTGGGAGGCGGTGTCAGTTACTGGAAATGTTGGAAAGAGAGACAACATGCACAAAATTTTATGAGGGGCAC